ATACCCCTGGCCCTAGGGCATGGCCTTTCTGAGACCTCAAGTGAATGCTCAGAGTGCTAGACATCATCTCCCCAATTTGGCTGGGACCAAACTGTGACTCTGTTTTCTTAGCACTGTGAAGCATCACAAAACTCTGTGCAGGTCATTCAGTCTTTGAACAGCTGTTTGCTAATAATCCTTCCACAATTTTATCTTGAGATGTGCACCTTAGGAGTTGGCTGACGACCCACAGGTAATTTTTATATAGATTTTAGAGCTCTTTCTTTGCAGTCTGTTCTTTGGCATGCTAATCCTAAATACCAGATACCATCAACAGATATGGCTATCTCCATTAGCTGCCCAAATGCACATTTTTTGCTTGGATTCTGTTTCTCTAGCGGCATTTTGGGACACAATCTCAGGGAAAAAACCAAGGCAATAATGGTGTTCCCACTGAGTTACTTTCTGTTTACAAATAGATATCAGAGATTTATTTTCTAAAGTATAAAAATAGTTGTTTTCTCCAGTATTTATGATTATTTTAAGCAGATGTCCAGAAGAAAATGAATCAGATATTTACAAGCTATAAAATAATTTCTACAAGAAAATGGAAGATAATTAAAAATAGTAATAATATTTTAGGAAGGCATATTTAAGTATTAAACTTCTCAAAACCCATGAAAGAAAGTACTGATTATTTTTTCTATAATAAAGCAAAATAATTCTATTTGGCAAAAGAAATTGCATTTTAAGTAAAATCAAAAGTTAAATATCAAACTGGTAAAATAATTGTAAATTACATAACATAAAAGAGCTAATTTTCTTCATATATAAAGCATTCCCATTAATTAAAAATGTCCAACACCTTAAGAGAAAAATAGTGATTGTATAGAGACAGTCAGGTTTCAGAAAATGAAATCCAAATTTTGTGAACTGCACAAGGATACGTGCAGGTCTCTAGCTTGCCTTGGGCAACTCTAGGCTCCCTCTTCCCACTTGTAATTCTCTTTTTTTTTTTTTTTTTTTTTGTTTTTCTCCGGTACCGGGAACTGAACTCACGACCTTGCGCTTGCCAGGCAGGCGTTTTTGCCGCTGAGCTAAATCCCCAGCCCCAAATTTCTTTCTTTGGTTTTTTTTTTTTTTTTTTTTTTTTTGGTTTTTCTCCGGTATCAGGAACCGAACTCACGACCTTGTGCTTGCCAGGCAGGCGCTTTTGCCGCTGAGCTAAATCCCCAGCCCCACCACTTGTAATTCTCATAGCAACTGCTGAATGTGCTGAATAGGCAGTGTCTTGATAGAGTTCTGACTTTCCTGGATTCCCCCAAAACCATATGACTTGTGTCTTTTTATTTAAGCCTTGGCTGTAACTTGTTTTAGAAGACTGAGGGCTAGGCCAAGTCCCCAATAAATACTAGTATACAATGGAATATTTGAGAATACAAGCAAGAACTAAGAACTGCTGAGAACAGCCCAGGTTACATCTTTGTCCTACCCAGCATAGGTTATTTTTTAATCCTTAAATTCAGTGAGTCCACATGTACCAATGTATAAAACTCAGGGCAGAGTGCTTCTGGGGTTCTTCAGCTGAGGTGTGACATGAAGCTTTTGCAGATGAGACTTGATCTTCCACAAGCAGCTTTCCTAAGCTTGGGCAACCAGCTCACTACAGACCCTGGGCTCTAGGCTTTGTTTGCATTTGCAGTCTATTGCTACGTAATACATTTTCTTTGATTAACTTGTATGACAGACAGTTCTGCCTCATTAGACTCATGTAAGTGGTAGAGATCCTTTGCAGAGATAAGAATGAAAAGTACATTGAACTAATACTTGTCAGAAACTAGACTGTGTAAGGGTTAAACTGCTGAACATGTTGTTTGCTCTGTGGATATACTGGAAAGTTCCTATACACAGTGCTTTAAAGTCCAGATAACACTATATCTGAGGCAGCTGAAGACATGGGCTGCTGACACTCTCGACTGCAGAGCAATAAAGCTGCCAACCTTAGTGATCAAACAGTTCCCTTAACTGGCAAGACTTCTGCCTTTATTTCTCAAGGCCCTGGTCATTTTCGTGGGCTTTTACTACCGATGTGTCTTCTTCTTGCACCCCCAAATCTGTGAAGACCCAATAAACATGGTGATCCAGAAAGGTCCTTGTCTTTACTCCCAGAGTGTTTACGCCTGGGAGAGTTCTGACTTTCCTGGATTCCCCCAAAACCATATGACTTGTGTCTTTTTATTTAAGCCTTGGCTGTAACTTGTTTTAGAAGACTGAGGGCTAGGCCAAGTCCCCAATAAATACTAGTATACAATGGAATATTTGAGAATACAAGCAAGCAATGTGGGAAACAGGCTCTCTTCTTTATCATGTAAAATAAATTTTGTAATAGAAAAATGGTGCAACCACAATAAATAGATATTTAAATATTTAGATATTAAATAGATATTTAGATATTTACCTATCAAAATTGAAAATGCACATGTTCTTTGACCTAGTAATCCCATGATTATGAATTTATATTACAGACTTTTATTCATATAAGAATTATATATTTATCTGGATAATTACAGAAGCATTGTTAATAAAAAAAACAACCTAATGTTCATCAAAAGAGCACTGTTTAAAGACATTTTTGTGTATCCATTAAAAACACTATGAAAACATTAAAAATAATTTGGAAATTCTTTCTGTACTCACATAGAAAGACTTCCAGAACATGTCTTAAATGAAAAGTAATTAAGAGACCTCACAGGAAGTATAGTATGTCCCAGTTTGAATTAGGCAAATAAACACAAAGATTGCATATACATATGGAATATACATCCTAGGCTAAAATATTGGGGAGGATAACAAGACAGGGATAGGAAAGTTACTTCCTCTTTGGTATCTCTGAACTTTCTATCATCAGTATGTATCAATGTAAACTAGCACAACTTTCCCATAGGGAAAGCAGTACAGAGATTCCTCACACACAACAAATTCACACTAAAACTAGAAATGACCCAGCAATTGCCCTTCTAGGTATTTTCCATAAAGATCACATTACTGTGATCATATGATGATTAAAGATCATATTACAATGATACGTGCATACCTATGTTTATGGCAGTGCAATTTTTAGTAGCTAAATTGTGGAAGCAGCCTATATGTCCATCAATAGACGAATGGATAAAGAACATGTATGCATGTACAATTAAGTACTACTCTGCCATAAAGATAAACTTAGGGCATTCCCAGGTAAATGGATGCAGCACACAAGCTTATATATCACATGGTTTGTCTAATATGAGAAACCCAAAGTATAAACAAAGAGAAAAATAAAAGAGAGATAATAAGAAGTAGACAAGTAGATCTTTCTTAAACAGGAAGGGGGATCAAGATATGGAGGTAGGAGGGGAGAGGGAGGAAGGGATGAAAAAAGATGTGCTATGTAAGGGTACCAATTCCTCAGAAGGAATGCAGACATTATGCTCTGAAAATGTGTACTGAAAAAGGTATTACAAAGAGTTTTATTGAAATGACCCCAAATTACCATCCATTTAACACCAGGAGAGAAAGCCCATCTTATACATGTTCTTAAAGTCTACCAACATTGTAACTGGAAGGAAACATGTAACTTTAAATAAATTCAATATTCAGGAAGAGTAAAGATAAAGGAATTTTTCATATCTCAGTGGCAAAAGTAGCAACACGTAACAGTGTTCATGCTCCCTAATAAAACAGTTGCAAAACTGAATAGAGCAAAAAAATGAAATTACAGGCTAACAAAAGAATGAGAAAGGATATAGAAATTCCAAAATCTGTTATTTTGAAAGATCTATAAACACTTTAAATCCTCATGTGTCCCATTAAGCAAGAAGAGATGAAAAATACTGCTAAGAATTCTTTTTTTGTTTGTTTGGTGTGTTTTGAGACAGGGTCTCAGGATGTAGTGCAGGTTTGCCTTGAACTTGCTTATCTAGCCCAGGCTAGCTGATCCTCCTGCCTCAGCCTCTTGAGTGCTGGGATTACAGGTGTGCACCACCACACCTGGCCCTCAAACAGAGTGTTTTAAATTGGCCATTTTTTTCAAGCTGGAAGTCATGGGTCAAATCTAGCTCTTCACAAAACATTTCTAAATATGAAATAGGTTAGAATGTTGCACTTGAGTTTTGCTATAAAGTATACATTTAAGAATATGCATCTTTTATTTTCTTTTGAATTTTATTATGAATATGGGAATAAAATATGTTATGGCTCTTTACATGAAGAAAGTAGCCCCAATCAATAATGCCATTTCCACTAGGTGCCTGTTAAACATTCTTCATGTTTCACAATTGGTATATTCCTAAAACAATTCTTACTATGTAGCAGAACCCCTCCACAAAAGACAATATACTTCAGTTGCCCAGGGGACAGTTCTTGTGGCTTCTGTCTCCTAGAAACGTCTGGTCACTGTGATGCATAGCTAGTCATCAAGATGCATATCGTAAGAACCAACCAAAGACAGCCAAGTACCTGTCTCTGTACTACCCCTTTCAACTCCATAAAAACCTCCTTCCCTAGGCCTTTGGGCCTGATATTTTGGGAATGTTCCTGATCAGTGCCCGCCAATGTAAAATAAATCTGCCCCCAAATCCTGGGTGATGTTTCAGTGTTTCTGTTTGCCAACGCACTTACTTAGGTAAATTTCAACATACCTGCTTTTGTTTTCTTTTGAATTTTATCATAAATATGGGAATAAAATATTTTTGAAAATATTTTAAATCTTATACTAGTTAGGTTAGATATTGTGAAATAATACTAAAGTCAAGATTCTTCTAGGAGGCATTACTTAGCTAGCCTAGAAGTAAAAGCAATATGCCCAAATTATGACTTAATTCATTACAGAATTGAAAATATCTCATCTTTAGAAAATACCTTATATTTAATTCTTTTCTAGCTCATAAAAACATTTAGAATATACTAGAACCTAGGGACACTTAAGCTTTAATTATTCTCAATTTAATTTTATATACTTTCATTAATTTAAAGTAACTTACCCCGGTGCATAATTACATATAAAAATTGCAGCATGTTTAATAGTTCCAACTGTTGAACATGCAGTCACAGCGCAACCAACTTTGTAAGAGCTGTCCCAAACGAGCTAAAATATAGTGTTCAAAAAATAAAAAATTTAATTCTATACATTGTTCTCTCATTTTACAAACTATAATATTTTCCATTCATACAAAATCTTTAACAAGTGGTTCAAGAGAATATAAACTATTGTCATTTAGACAAAAGTAAAATTATGGCTTAGGAGAGAACTTCTAAAACCCTTTTTAGAGAAATACTTTAATAGATTCTGTTAATACTGCATTGGGACACAAATGGCTTGAAAACACTGATCTAGAATAATGCTTCAGACCCCAAATCACACCTCTTATGTTAATTTTCAACACCTCACTGAATGGTAGTTCTAGGTCACTGGGAAAGGTGAGGAAAGATTGGAGCAAAGAACAGGTTCTGCAAAATTGAAATTGTAAACAGAAGAGAGAAAAAGAGTAGGATTATAGAAGGGATGCAAAGGAGACACAGGATTAATTGAATGGTATCAGTATTTTTCCTTCTTTTGGTTGATGAAATTACAGGACACAAAAGTACAAGCTTTTCATCAGAAGAAAAAAAAAATTTGAACAAGCAAAGAGCCAGTTCCTGAAAAAATGGATCTTGGATTGGAGTGAAAACTGTAGGAATGATGAAAGACACTTTAGAAATTCTCCATATGGCTTTAATATTTCCAGTAATCTAGGCAAACAAGGAAGTGCTTGCTTTGTTCCATAGAACTTCTGTGGAAGCACAATCATTTCTATTCTTTAAAAAAATTATCTCAAATCTTAGTGTTTTAGAAGTGTGATGTTAAAAATGATGGATATATTAAAGGAACAGAAAATATAAGAGTTGAAATGATGTCTAGGAAGAGGCAGAAAACAAGGGTTTTCTGCAGGAGATTGGCGTTAAGGAGCAGAGAATAGAGTACAGTAGCATGTCAGGGACTAACTTTGGTTAGTTTACCGAGAGCATTAAAGTTTTAAATTAAGGAGTCTAGCACTGATATGAAAAGAAAATGGCAAATCACTATAAGTTTCTAAGAAAATATAATTGATAAAAAGAAAATAAAAAACTTTCAAAGCGTGACTCATTTGATGGAAAAAGTTCAATATGAATAAGTTTTACAAAATTTTAAGCTTTACATAAAACATGCATCTGTGTCTATTTACTGAAAAATAATGATGTTCTAAATAAATCTGAATGTTCTTTCAGTAATTTCTTGGTTCTGATACAAATGTTTATTTAGTGTTGAGAATATAAGAATGAGAAGAAAAGGTCTCTGGCTTCAGTGTGCTAACAGATACAGAATTTGATGATTATTAAACAGATGTGATTATCACATCTGATATGTGAAATAATAAGGGATACATAGATAATAAAAAGTGGCTCAGGGCTCGGGATGTATCTCAGCAGCGTAAGTACTTGCCTGGCAAGCACAAGGTCCTCAGTTTGATTCCCAGTACCCTGCCCCCCCAAAAAGTGGTTCAGTATTGATGGAATATAAGGTATAAGCATAGATTGTTAGACATGACAAAGGGAAATAATGCTATTAATTTTTGCTTAAAACTTTTATCAGTCAGTTAGATAGTACTATGAATACTGATTGGTGCAAAAAGTCAAGTTTTTATTTTTGCCTACGGCCAATAATTTGTACATAATTATTTATTACAAATTAATAATTTGTAAATATTATTAGTAAATAATTATTTACCGTGTTTTTATTTCTCTTTCCTGTATGTGCTACTTTTAGAAAAGTGTCTTTCATCTTTGAGTATACTGTGTTATGGCTTGTATGTACATGTTCCCCCAGAGCCTCACATAAGGCTTTTCAGGGGTGGCTGGCTGTAGGATGTGGGGTGCTGGGATTAAGTGTGTGATGCTAGGATTAAGGGTGCCCCACCCTGGATGTGGATGGTACTGATCAGTAGGCTTACAGTTTGGATAGAACATAACAGGTTGCTTGTGCTGTTTCCTTGCTGCTGCTTCTAATGCCGCCCTTGCTTGCTTTTACAGCCTCCTGCTTTCCATGCCACGAACTGTTGTTTCTCTGCTGTGATGCCCCTTACAGCCAGCCAACTATGGGCCGAAACCTCTACAAAATAAACCTTGCCTCCTTTACCTTTGGGTGTTGGATATTTCTCGTCTCAGCAACAAGAAAATTTACTAAAACACTATATTTAAAGGAATGTTTTGATGATATGGCTTACATAATGGAATTATGGTTATTCTGAAGATAGGGAACTGATCAGCATTTTGACTTCATTAGAAGTAAAAATTTTATTGTTTGAGTTTATTTATAAATACAAAACATAAAACTAGAAAGCAAAACCATTGAGAAGTCTATAAAATTCATAAAAACATAAAAATTAGGTACCTGAATATAATGAGAACAGTCTGCAGAGCAACTGCCATTAACAAAAGTATAGTTTTTGCTTTCTTCATACCAACTTGTAATAGCAGTACTTGCATTAAACTCCTTTTCAGGGCCAACCCACATATTTTCACCAACAGGACTGATTGTAGGATGGGCCATTTGTACCTCTTCCAAGTAAATATTACGTTCAAACACACATTTCTTCCCCCATGCTCTTGCAGTTCGTGATAGGGCTACATCCCAAGTCTGGAAAAAAAACCGCAAAAAGCAGAGAAAATAACTGTAATAAGGTTTTTGTATGTTCTGAGTCATTTTCATGGAGTTTTGTTATTTAAGGAAAATGATTCTAACATTGTACTTATGGCTCTTGTTTGTGGAATTTCTATAGTGGGAAAGGTGTGAAATAATCATAAGGAAAATGCCAGGTAGCTGTCCTTCTGGTGACTTATTTTGAATATAGTTCACATACCTTATCATCAAAAGTTCCTATTTTCAGTTTTCTTCAAATGCACCCTCTGACTTAATTTTCACAACTATCCTATACAGTGTGCAGTATAGTCACTTATCAATGGAGATATATTCTAAGAAAGGTATCAAGCAGGTATGTCATTGTGCGAATATCGTAGCATGTACTTACACAAACCTGGATTGTAGAGCTTACTATATATACATCTAGACAATATGGAATAGACTATCATATCCACAGTCACATTGGCTATTTTTCTGTTACACAGAAGTTGTAAGTAAAACATGAAGAGGTTAAGCAGATTGCTTAAAGTCTCATAGTAAATTGTGAAACCTGGATTTTTAAATTCAAGAAATCTAATTCTCAATTCCAAGTTTGTAAGCATTTAATTCATTGCTTTTCATGACTATGTACAAATAAATTATAATACTTCCAGATTTCTTTATTCAATCATGGATAAAATTACAGTTACAAGTAAGGAAGAAGGCAGAAGTTTAGAGGAGCCCCTTTGGGAGAGAGGAAGTTTCCCCAAAGAGGACCCTGATTTCAAAATTATCTTTAGCAAAATCATGCCAGCAGGAAAGGAACCAGGCAGAATTGGTGGAGCATACAGTCACAAGGATTTCAAGGGGGAAAGGGTTCAATACACTGAGAAATTCCCCTGGGAGAAGTAGGATCAGATATAAACAAACGTCCTAACAGCCAGGAAAAGTTTCCAGACTCAAGAAGAGAAACTCCCCTCAAAAAAAAAAGAGCCAGAAAAAATAACTTCTAGTTCAGGACTCAGGGAATTAATTTTCACTTGAAGAAAGATAGCAGGAAAATATTTCCAACCTAGGAATTACCTTTCAGAAAAAGAGGCCTGAAACTCTAATACAGCTCTAGAGCTTTACTCAGAATTTTAAGAATCAAAATCTATTCTCATTGTTCTTCAAAGAACGATCATCCAGAACACTGGCTCATGAGTCAGACTCACCGATGGACACCTGATCACTCAGTCAGGCATGAAGACTTAGGCTTCAAAGGTGTGTGCTTGCACACTTTGGTTGAGAGATCCAGGGATCTATGATGAAACTGATCCTATCCAAGTCACTGCACCATAACTATTCAAGAAAATTTTTTTTGTGACACTTTTTAACACAACAAGAAACACTTTATTCAAAACTATTGTAATAGGTGTCAACACCATCACAATAATAAAGAAGAGAGATTGGTTCAAATCCAAATACACCAAGGACAAATGGGATTTGCACCCATGGAATAGAATGAGGTCAATGGATGACAAATTACTAAGAAGAGACATTAAGAACTGAGGGGTTCTTGCTAAACTGTCCTAAGGAATTCTTGCTCAAGGAAGACAGGGCACTTAACTACTAATGGTGGGGTATTCTTCCTATATTTGCGTAGGTAGAATTTTTGCTAAAACATGCCGGGCGTGGTGGTGCCCATCTGTAGTCCCAGCACTCAGGAGGCTGAGGCAGGAGGGTCATTGTGAGTTTGAGGCCAGCTTGGGCTACAGTGTGAGCTTAAGGCCAGCCTGAACTGCATAACAAGATCCTGTCTCAAAAAGATCCAAAACAAAACAAAACAAAACAATCAAACTAAATCAAAACAAAACAAAAATTAAAACTTGTCAGAAGGCAGGATAGGTCCAAGTTGAAGGTCTCATTAAAAAGGGCTCAGAGGAGTTTAGTTTGGTCAAAGAGAGAGTATTTACCAAAACATACATATTACTGATTTTAGAAAATAAACACATTTAAATAATGAATTGTACATAATAAGAGTAACAAGGAGTAAAAGAGACACATTTTAAAGAGATTTATTCTATGTATTATCCAATATATTGCTATTTTATTTTTTGAACAGGTAATATACCCACTAGTTTATAAAGTAAAAACCAAATAAAATTATGGACAGGTCTTACTGTCCTGCTCCCTACCCTCCCACATCCTTTAGGCCTCACTCAGGAAATAGTGAGGCCTATAAAACTGGAAAAAATTCCAATATTTTTATATGGAAGTATAAAACAAAAACACCAGAACAACATTATATTTTTGGTGTGGATAACCAGATATGTATTCAAATGTTTAAAAAATGAACGAGAAGAATTCATATCAAACTCATAAAAATCCCTGTGTCTCGGAATGGACAAAGAGAGGTAACATGACTGAAATGGCTATTAAAGAATTTCAACACTATCAGTCTTAAAGGTATAAACTGTATTTGTAATATTTAAAGTCAAACATTAATATTAAATGTCAAACTATAGATCATATTGGGATACACAAGGATAGCCCAAAGCTAAGTCTTGGCCCTTCTACTGGTACTACAATATTAAGTTAGAATGAGTAGTCATCTAACTTTATGAGAACCCAGAAAAAGAAGGCAGGGGTTCCAAGTTTGTAGCATCCAATAATATAACACAGCTTCCACAACAAGGAGAACTAAATTAAGATACAATATTCTGACACTGAAAATATGTAAAATTTATGAATACAAATTTTAGGTTGAATCTATGAAATCATTTTTGTCTTCTAAGTAAAAAACAGATGAACGACAACTTCATATAGCTAGTCTACACAAGATGAAAACATTCTCAAAATCCACTGAACTCAAAGGAAAGAAAGGTAATGTTCAGGTGTCAGAAGTGAAAAGTCAAAAGTCAGAGTACAAACTCATGAGCATAATCTGAGTAGAGTAGCTGCTTTACCAGACAGATATAGTTATAAAGATACAGATAGAGATATAGATATGTAGATATAGATATATAGATATATTACTAATATGGGAACAGAAGATCCAGCCATCCAGCCACATTAGGCAAATTCTAGGCCTGAAATCTTTGGAAAAATTACCACTATAGCTGCTTCCTAAATGAAAGGACACTAGGAAATTCTATACATCCACCCAGGGAAGTAAAAGAATATTAGATAGAGAAAGAAAGTAAAGGTCATATAAGGAATTTAAGTGCTAGGCCTATATTATCATACAGGTGGAGACTGTATTTACATTTGCCTGTTAAATATGCAAACATAAATTAATATAAATAAAAGCTTATTGTGGGGGCTGGGGATTTAGCTCAGCAGCACAGCACCTGCCTGCAAACTTGAGGTCCTGAGTTCGATTCCCGGCAACAGAAAAACAAACAAACAAAAAAGCTTATTGTAAGAGAGCAGTGAGACATAATATTGTGCTGTGGAAATATTTCCTTATAATTTAGACAACATGGAACTCTTTCACACACAATTTCTACTGAAGATGAGCATATGATTGAAGAAGATGAGCATATGAGGTAAAATAAGAGAATTAACACCTGACAAAACAGTAAGAAACTAAAAATATTTTATAGAAATAATTTATTCAAAATGATTAGTGAAAGGAGTATAGAAATAAAATCATAAGAATAAAACATTGGCAGAAATAATGGCAATTCTTAAGTAAAAAGATCTAGAAATTTTAAAGAATGAGCCCCTTACATATATTATAAAAAGCTGAAAAGAAAACTAGTGACTGAAAAGAAATTTTGAAAAAAATGACTCAGCATTAAGAACAGAGAAAAGGAGACTCTATGAGGAGAAAGAACAGATGTAAAGAAAATAAGTAAAAACATGAAATGTGAAAGGAGTTCAAGAAGGGGAGACTAGAGACATTGGGGAAGATGAAAGATTCTGCAGAATGGTACTGGTGAATTTTGGTCTTTTCAATACGTATCAACGCAAAGATTCAAGAAGATTCAAGTCCTGAACAGAATAAACAAATGCATACTTCCCACCAACATGGTAAAACTACAGCATCCCCCCAAAATTTACCTGATGATGAAAGACAAATTATTTTTAAACAAGCGAAAATAAGACCTGGAATCTCAAACTTTGATTTAAAATCCAGGATTTCAGATTCAGTAGGTCTAGGAAAGGGCCTAAGAATATTCATTTCTAACAAATTGACGAGTAACACTTATGTTTTTGGTACAAGGAAGTGCTGAGCTCAACTAACAGAAGAAATATCAAAAGCAACAGGGAAATCCAGAAGATAATATTGAGAGAAAACCCTATAATTCAAGAGTGAGTGTGAAATAAAGATTTTTAGACATAGAAATATTGACTGTATTATTTGTACATACTTACTGAATGAACTATTAGAAAAGGTACTTTAGGCACAAGAAAATTGAATCCAGAAAGAAGTGGGATATAAGAAGGAATGATTGGCAAAGAAACTGGTCCTGATAAATCTGGACAAAAATTAAAAAGTTATAATGAAATAATAATGAAAACACCTCTGTGCTGCATGTGTGTGTGTGTATGTGTGTCTGTGTGGTATTAGGGATTGAACCCAGGCCTTTATGAACTGTATCTCTGGCTTTTTTTCAATTTTTATTTTGAGGCAGAGTCTTGCTAAGACACTATGTTGCTCAGGTTGGTCTGAAACTTGGATCTTACTGTCTCTGCCTCCTAGAGTGTTAGGATTATAGGCATGTAATCCTATGCCTTCTTAAAACCAATGCCTTCTTAAAACAACCAATGGATAAACAAAGAAATCAAAGAGAAATTAGGGTATATAAAAATGAAAACAATATACTCAGTTATAGGACACAGTAAAGGTAGAGATAGGATAAAAATGTACAATTGTGGCAGATTATACTTAAAAAATGAAAGACTCCAACTCAGCAATCTAACCTATACATCCTCCTTTGAAATCTGGGTAGAAGCTTCTATTACCCTGCAACTCTTACATCTGCATCCCTGAACAACCATGACATGGATGATGTCAAGGTCTATAATGA